TTCCTGCCGGGAGCGATGAGCGTAGCTCGACAATCTGCTGTGTCGTGTCCATAGGATAGGTGGTATACATAGTATCCAGGTAGGTTTTGATTCGACCTATTTCTAGGTCCCGAACCCAACCTCGACCTCTACCTTTACGGGATCCCTACGGAGTTCCCATCTGCTGGGTGTCGGTGATTGGGTTGACATCCTCATATGCCAATGTAGGGACGGCGTTAAGAGTGGTGGTGGCCAGTGCTTGCCCAGAACTCTCATTACCAACTTGGTTCATTTGGTAGTCCATCAAGTGGGAGGTCGCCCCTCTAGTACGCTGCCTTTGAGGAGGTAGGAGGCCTCTATTTGCCCTGTTCCTATGCTCAATCAATTCTTCATTGATGATCTCCCGTCTCATCATCTCGAGTAGGGCATCATAGGTGGTGGGGTCTTGATTTTGCACATCCCTTTAGAACAGAGTGTTCATGTACAGACCACCTCTCAATGTAGACAACGTCTCATGGTTGGTGACTTGCACACAATATGTCATCTCATCGGTGAAACGTGATAGGAAGCTCTTTAGGGACTCCCCATGTGCCTGTCTCATGTCTTGGAGACGCTGGATGGGGGCCTATTCCATTTTGCTTACAGCAAAGCTCTTCAAGAGGGTCGTCTTGAATTCGGTCCAGCTTCTTATGCTCCCAGGTGATAACCTACTATACCAAATTTCAACTGCTCCGCTAAGTGTTAAGTGGAAAGCTCTACATTTCAAAGTTGAGGTGGCAACCCTTAGGCTCATGTGAGTACTGTAAGCATTCCAGTGTTTCTCTGGGTCACTTCTTCCGTCATACTTTGGTATCTTTGGCATAACATAGTGGTTTGGGACTTGGGCGCTCCTTAGTTCCCTTGAGAATGGAAGGTTTTCATCGTCGTCATCCAAGTCATAGGACCTCTGCTACTCATCTGAATCGTTTCCTTTAGCCTCATACCTTGGTTGTTGGTGAAAGGTCCCAGGACGATTCCTAGTTCTTCCTCCCTCCTTTGGCGCCTATCTCTAGGCGGAACAGCATGGGGGACATTCTCATGCCTTCCTCCCGGCTGTTGAGGCATTGGAGGTGGCCTTGTCCAAGGCTCGTAATGTTGTTGTCTGAGCCTCTTTCAGCGGGGCTGATTCTGTCAAATACACTGTCTGACCTCCCATGTCTTTGCTCTTGCTCATACGGAGGTGGGAAGTTATCATGGTTCAAAGGGACCTCGGTGGGTCGGCCAGAGGCGTAGTTGGAGGAAACATCAACTTCCACTTCTTTTTCAAATGGGCTTCTACCTCGGCTATAGTCCGGTAAGGTAGCCCTACGACTTTGAACTTCATCTTCTTGCTGGTAGTACCCTTGAGGTGCGTATGAAGGAATAGATAAGCCTCCTTGGCCCTGCATTTGGGCCATAAATTCCCTCATAACCTTGTTTTGGCTAGCAATGTCTCTCATATTAGCTGCCATGGCAGTCATTTCTCTCGATAGCCGAGCCGTCGCACGCATTCCACCTCCTCTATGGTTGTGGTGGAGTCTATGCCGAGCTGCCGGGGCAGTTGCTTGAGGGGGCACATTAGCATTTTCTCTTACCCTCCTGGGGAATGTATCTTCGTTTGAACTCATTTTCCTTGCGTCTTACCCTTCAGATTTTTGCTAAGTCGTGAGGCTTCCTCTTGTTCTTTTTCAAGAACAAATTCTTTTTCAAGAGGGATACCCAAATGTTCCTCTTTAATAAACTTTCACCACAAGGTTGTTCGTAGTTATGGTATGGTTTCCCACAGACGATGGCAATCTGTTGACCCTAGAAAATGTTGCCAACAGATGCCGGACCCGCCCGCGTACACGTAAGCGAAAGTCCAACACGCTAAGATACGTGGACGGTCTAAAATGAACAGATCAAGGGCGTGGGAGTAGCTTTACGGCGCGAGACGAGAACGTTCGGAATCTGACGAGATGTTCGTTAACCGATTGTACAATAATTGTCAATCGATGTTTGTAAATATGTATGTAAATTCGTATTGTATTGCAAGATAATAAGAAAGAGATAGTAAAATGTGATTTTTTGTATTGATTCTTGCATTAGCCTTTGTATGGGGTACATGGGGGAGTATTTATAGTGCCACAAGTTAGATCGTGACCTTTGGTTCGGGGTACACGTGGCCTCATCCGGTTAGTTTACATGTCAAATTGTAGGCATCAGCCGCACTTGACCTGCTATACATTTAGTGATTGGCAGAGCCGCCTCTACTAGTGACAAGACTTAACATTTACACTCATGAAAAACGTCCAATCGATCATTATAGTAAGATCTTTGTACAGAGGATCTCTTGGGAGAAGTGTCTATAGAAGATGCTGCTTTGTGCTTCGGAGGCTGCCACCTGGGCTACAGAGCTTTGACCACAAGGCCTTGTCCACCTTCAAATATGCCTCGGCATATGGGCTTCGGAAGCTCCTCAAGAGATAATGATAGATGGGCCTTGGTTTATATGGGACAGGGCTTCTGTGGAGCTCAATTTATAGGTTTCGGCTATGCAAATCACCTCGACTTTAGTGCCACGTGGTTCAGTATGAGTTGGCCGTGGGCCCTGATGGGTTGCCCAAGTGTGCAAACACGTAACTGTGTGTGTAAGGAAAATACCGTGTGAAAATGGAGATGAGGTGATGTTGGGTGAAGATATAAAAATAATAATAAAATAAATAAAATAAAATAAATTAGGATGACGATAGGAAATTGCGACACGTGTTTAGCAAAAGTTAGGCTCTTTTATATATGTAGGATGAACATTAAAGAAACCATGATATGAAAATCAATTGCGGAGGTTCCAACCACATCGAGAGCCATTTTAGCAAATAAGCTATCCTCTCTCAATGTCTCATCCAATAGTTGTCTGGTAAGTGTAAGTGAATCATTGCTTGATAATGACCAATTTGAGTAACTTGGCGAACACCTATTAAAACAGCGAAATTAAGAGACAAAATATGTATAAGTAACAAGAATTTAAAAATTTTAAATTTTATAAATAACTGTATAGCAAATAGCGAATTTAGAATTTAAAGATGGCATAATTCTGATTGACTGACTAGTCAAACTTATGAAGTATTTTTAGAATTAAATTCGGCACTATTTTAAGATTATAGTGAAAAACGCACTCTTATATTAAAACCTCAACTGAATATTTGCAATTTGCAGCAAGAGAAAACAAAAGAAAGCAGAGGATTGGAGTTAAAAATACGACACAAGTAGGAAGAAAAACTCAAAACTCTACCAACCACAAAACGATACTTCGAAAAACGCTCATAATCGGTATCCCAAAACTCGTGTATGCCTTAAAGTACATTGTAATTATAATTTCAGTCCATGTGGCTCTATTGTGACATTAAATGATAGATTAAGCACTTGTTTGAATCCCTTTTTTAGGTAAAAATACATGGGATATTTTCAAAAATGTCCAATTTCGTGGGTTTCAATTCAAAAATGTCCACTTTTTAAATTTAGCACTCAACATCTATTGTGTCCTTAATGAAAAATGAAGCAATTAATTTTTTTCCAATTTTGTCGCAGATTTCGAGAAGTAACTTCCATGAAAAGTTACATTAAAATGATTTTCTCGACATTTCAAATGTCGTTCTCGATATTTGAACTCCGTTTATATTTCAAAAGTACACATGTCAAATCATAACATTAAATGTTCTCGACATTTCAAATGTTGTTCTCGACATATTATATGTCTAGAATGGCATTTCATTCCGAATATGATATTTCTCTACATTTGAAATGTAGTTCTCGACATTTCTATGTCAATGAGAAAAAATAGCATTCATTGTGATTTGACGTGTGCACTTTTACAATAAATAGGGCAGGTTATGTGTCAATTTTATTGGTCCATTTTTTAATTGCAAAAATGTCTATTTTTGTCTTTGAGTGGAATCATAAATTATTAATAAGGATATTTCGGTCTAAATTATTTCAAAATGGACATTTTTGCAAGGATTGCCAATGGTGGATATTTTTACAAATGGATATATGAAAGTGGATATTTTTAGTAATTTCCTCAAAACACATTTTGGAATAATGTTTTATTCAAGAATATGTGATTAAAAAAAGAGAGAGAGAGAGAGAGAGTTTGCGTGTAATTATTTTTTAAGAGAATGTGCGATTAAAAATGAGTTTGAAAGAAATGAATATTTAAAAAAAAAAAAAAAAAAAAGGCTAAACATGTGCACAAGGTGGAATTATTATTCTCTTAAATTCCATCATACTTGTCTATGTTTCAATTTATTGATTCTCTCACACTCTCTGAATTTAAAGGTAATAACAATCTGATCGATTTAACAATATTCAATTATTTTGATGTTGTTATTGATATTCATTTGATTAATTAGCAGAAGGTGTTAGGTAATTTGTTGTCAAACAACCTCCTTAGGCTATGATGTTATTTGGTTTTAGTCTTTAGTCAACTTAGCCAAATGATTGAACGAAAATCAGAACACTGCTATCAAGATGATATGACCCAAAGGTTGATTGGGTCATTCGAAGCAACCTAAATATTTTAGCGTTGCTCATGGGCTAACCCGCTTTCTTGGATGGCCATAATTGAGAGAGATTACTTGGCAGTCCATTTGTCTACTTATTGGGCCTCTACTTGACCCAATTGTTAACCTAATTCTACTTACCATACTTGGGCCACTTTACTTAATATATTAGGTCTTTCTCTCCCTTTGCAAGTAGAATTGGTCCCCACATCTCTCTCTATGACTCTTGGCCAGTGCTATTTTCTTCTACACTTCTGCTTCCTTTTTGGTTTCCATCTCCTGTGGTGATTATATATGAGATATTGTATAACTTTGTGGTCTTTTAAGTGAACTATCTTATTGACAACCAAAAATGGGAGCTTGGTATTATCTTGGGTCGTTGTTGTCGGGTTGTGTTCTGTTGTCTGGTTGTTATGTTTTTGGTTGGAAGAAACTGAGCCTGAGTCAACTTTGGTGATCAATATACACTCTACAAATGGGAGTTGGGTCATTGAGAAATATGATACTAGCGATGATGGTTTTGTTGAAAGGGGCTTTTATGATTGATAGAGAAGAATATTTGTCTCCTGATGTTGAATATGAAGGTGATACTGTTCAACTTTCCTTTGTGTTTATTAAAACTGACGGACCATGGCATTTTGGTGATGAAGAAGGTGTTCATCTTCTGGTAATTTTATATTTTTATCGGGAAGAAATTTTATTTTACCTTGCTTTGTTACATCATATATACTAGTTCTTGGATATATTTAACTGATCATGTTGGAAAAATAAGTGGCCCATGTGGGTTGACCACACCATAATTGAACAAAAATGGGTTTTGGAGGGAGGAGTTCCATATACCTCCCACCACACTAAAACTATGAGGAAAGCATGCAAAATTCTTGTGTGAAAAGAGAGTGATAAGCACACAAGGGTTTTTGCTTGATTTTGTAATATCTACCTCTCTAAGTTGGTACTTAGGTTATGGCTATCAAACTCCTTCCATTGTGATCGAGTTTCATAGCAAGACGTGAGTGCAAGACAGTATAGAAAGCAAGCAATCAAAGGCAAGTAATTCAATCTCCTTTTTTTAGAAGCATGGCATTACGATTTACTGATCATTCCTCTATAAGATGAAATGGCCACACAACATAACTAGTTGTAGTTAAGACATATAATTTGCTGATGGACCTTGGCATTATGGTGTGCGGGTTGAGAATCTGATTTGACATTTAACTGTGTTTTTCCAACCATCATTTCCGTATTTTCTAAAAATTTGAAGTGGAAAAATTTGTTTATATCATTTATTTCATCAAAATGCCTAATTTAAGAATGTCCAATTTTAAGGGTATGAGTTGAAAAGTGTCAATTTATTTGAATTTAGTGTCAACTTGTCTATTATGCGCTTAATTAAAAACTACATTTTGAAATGATATTCTTGACATTTTAAATGTCGTTCTCAACATTTGATTTTTTTTATCAATTTGTCATGAATTCTGAGAAGTGGCTTTCATGAGAAATTACATTAAAATAATGTTTTTCAACATTTCATGTCATTCTCGACATTTGAACACCGTTTCATTTGTCTAGAATGACATTTCATTTTAAACATAACATTTCTGTACATTTAAAAATGTTATTCTTGACATTTCTGAATCAATAAAAAATATAGCATTTATTGTGATTTGACATGTATACTTTTTAAAATAAATATGACAGGTTATGTTTCAAAAATTTTATTGGACAATAACAATATTGCAAAAATATCTATTTTTTTTATCTTAGTGTGAAATTATAAATTGTTAATAAGGGTATTTTGGTCTAAATTCTTCCAAATTAGACATTTTTGCAATGACAACCATTTTTGCAAATGACTAGGTAAAAATGGACATTTTGTGAAATTTCCTCTTTTCAAAAATGTCTAATTTTATAGGTGTCAACTGAAAAATGTCCACTTTTTAAATTTAGCACTAAACTATCTATTTTGCCCTTAATGAAAAAAAGAAGCAATTTATTTATTTTTTCAATTTGTTGTGGATTTGGAAGAGTAGCTTTTATGAGAAGCTACTTTAAATGATATTATCGACATTTCAAATGTCATTCTCGATATTTAAATCCCGTTTATATTTTAAAAGTATACATATCAAATCACAATATTAAATGTTCTCGACATTTCAAACGTTGTTCTAGACGTTTTAAATATCTAGAATGACATTTTATTCCGAACATGATATTTCTCTATACTTAAAATGTAATTCTCGACGTTTCCGTGTCAATAAGAAAAATAACATTAATTGTGATTAGACATGTGCACTTTTAAAATAAATATGGCAGATTATGTGTCAAAAATTTATTGACCCATAAAATTTTTTGCAAAAATATTCATTTCTCGTCTTTATGTGGAATCATAAATTGTTCATAGGGGTATTTTGATCCAAAATATTTCAAAATGGAGATTTTTGCAAGGATTTGTGAAAGTGGATATTTTTGCAAATGGACATGTGAAAGTGGACATTTTAAGTAATTTTCTGTAATATAAATTACATAATACATAAAACTTCTTTGTGTTATCAATGTTTAACAAATCGTTTGCTTGACTAAAAGTAGTTGAGAGATTAGATACACAACTACAAGAACTAGATTGAAATTCAGTTGAAAAAATCATTCCATAATTAGTATGAGAATTGAACGTTAATTACATGTAATTAAAATTAATTTTAAAATATAATAAAAGTTTCAATTTCCGATACTCAACACCAATTCATCACAAATTATAAATTCCACGATTTCTCATTTTCAATTTTCATAAACCACATATTCACATTTCATAATACTCAAATTAATTTTTAATATTACAATTCATAGTAGACATATTCTCAAATAACATATAAATTAAAACTTAATACTCATAAGTCATATCTTATAAATTATTAAAGCATAAAATATTTGAAACGACAAAAACCAACAAAAAAAAAGAAGAAAAAAAAGTCATTGACTCGCCTAGAGTCTTAACATATATTATTTTGTTAAATTTAAATTCAAAATTCAAACATTGCCATGATGATTAAGCTTCCAATAATCCAAATTAAAAGTTATAGGTTCGAATCCTTTCCTTAGGGAATTAATTTTGGTAAATATTGTAGAATAAAAATTTTGCACAATGAAATGGACGGGAAGGAATCGAACCCAAGATTCGTAATATAAAAATGTAAACTCTAACCAACTAAACAGAAGAGGGGTTTGAAAATATGATGAACTATCATTTATATAACCTAAATTTTTTATCTATTATCAACAACAACAAAAATTCTCTCCGACAAATCCAGCTAGGGTGGCCGCCCTAGTTGGCCAACCCTTAAATCCGCCAATTAGTCATCGAAAGGCTAAGATTTGGAATTGGAATTGTAATTGATGTAGGAGCTGTAAGATATTTGGCTACTCTGTTTATTGTGTTTCTCAAATCAAATCTTAATTTGCTTAGGAACTTCCTTTACATTTGGTTTCTATGTTCCGAGCAATTGTTTTGGTTCCTCGAGTGGAAAGTTTTTCAGATTGAGCTATGCTTCGGATAGAGGCTAGGCGTTCAACTTGTTTAATTATACCTATGCAATATTCTTGTTTATTAGGTGGAGAATTGCGTTTACTGGTGTGTTGGAACAATAAAGAAACGCACATGAATGACCTAAAATGTGATTATCAGTTTACTAGGACTTGAAAAATCTGATAATATTCATATAGAATGGAGGAACAAGATGAGGTTAAAGGTGCAACAAAGTAACTACATAAACAACAGCAATAGCAAGAAGTAAACCAGTCACTTATATTATAAAAAAAAAAAATTTAACTTACGATAATCAATTTAAATTTGCTGGAGTTTACCTTACTAAACATATATATATATATATATATAAATTTTTGATACTGTTCTTTTGTCTCAATTGCACTACGCATACTCAACATGCCAATTGCCAAAAAATTATTTGGCTTATTTACTCGTTATTTATATATTCGAACGCAACGTATAAAGCATGTTGACTCATTGTATCTCTTTTTGTTCTGTGTCATGCCTTTCTTTACCATATATTATCTCTCCTAAAATTGCTTGTGATTATTAGATAAAGAGACCTTCTGTTGAGCAGATTCACAATATCCATGACAATATCAGTGAGAAGAACGTGTTAATGGCTCATAAGAAAGGCCTTTACCGCTTTTGCTTCACAAACAAGTCACCTCATTGTGAATATTTTGGCAGAATGATCTCTCGTTTTCGGATTCCTTCCATGAAATAGAGATAATTACACAAATACAACTAGGTCCTAAATGTGGTGAGCTATGATTACAATAATTTGCAATCAATTATATATGTAAGTATGGTAGAATGATACTTTGTTGTCGAAGTCGTAATCTTTGTCAGTCTCAATGATACCCCCTTCAAATTGATGTTGGATGATTAAGAAGTATCAATTTGCTGATAAGAAACTGAAGTCGCTGTCGCATCATTGCCCGTGTAAACACATCGGCAATTTGAAAATCATTGGCGATATGTGGAAGAGAAATAATGCGATCATCATAAGTTTAACGAATAGATTGACAATCCACTTCAATGTGCTTAGTGCGCTCATGAAATATAAGATTAACAGCAATTTGAATGGCACTAATATCGTCAGTATAAAGTGAAATAGGCTCAAGCTGAGGACAACCAAGCTATGCTAAAAGACCCCATAGCCAAACTGACACGACCCGTCCGAATCATCCTAGTCGATCCGATACGTGTCGTGCGCCGATTGTAGATACCAGCTAAACTTCGAACCCACCACCAAGGCAACTTGACTTGCTTGATTGAAAATTATTTTTAACAAAATTTTGAAAGAATTTTCCTAAAATATGACCTAAAACCACCTGAACAATAATCAATTTTCTTCAAATCAATACCTATAATATAAATAGGGTAAGACAGTCCCTTAAAATACAAACTATTCAAATGAAATGCTGAGAAATCAATATTCACTTGCTTTACAATCAACAATCCTCAAATATACTAAAGATACCAATTATCTAACGAGCCCATAATGAATTTTTCTGATTTAAGCTACATGTATCCCAAAAAAACATGTAATGTATAATTTGATAAAGGATGTCAAACAACCTATAACGCATGAGTCAATTTAGTGGTTCGACAGGCTCCAAAACTGCCCAATTCGGCTACTATCTGTCTGATAAAGAAAATGGTGAAAAATATATGAGCTTAAAGTTCAGTGAGTGGATAATTTGCAAATAAGTAGACTTTCCTCACTTTATGCGTATTTTCTGAAATTTCTTGCTATATTAAAACTTTAAGAAATTCTGAAATCAGGTACCACTTTTAAAATCAAACATGAATACATCATAAAATTCTTTGTTCTTCATTCTAGATAAGTAACTGTAAAATGTAACGAATATAAATAATATGACATCCGTGAAAATCTATGAAATATTGTTGCTGATCAATACTATAAGCTGAAGCTTTAAATCTAAGAACTGAATAGACTGAATTCTATAATTTGAAATCTGATAAGCAGTAGAAATACTGAAAAGTCACACAAAAAAGGTACCCAATGAATAGCCTTACTCGTGTACAGAGTAATCTCGATGTACAAGGCAGAGCCATTCAAATATGATATTTTGATAATCTGGTCATACGTACGCAGAGCTGCCCTAAAGGCTAATCACCCTAGTACACGGCCCGAAGCCTATGTGTGTACGAGAGTGGGTCCCAAAGACCTCTAATAATCTGGTCATACACTATGGAAATGCATTCACAATAGCGCAGAACGGGTAAAATCACCATAACTAGTCATACACTGTGAAAAGACATTCACACTAATGCAGATTGGGGTAAAATCACCTGAATACTTTCTAGTGGTTTTAAAAATAATTTTAACTATACTGAAACAGTTACATTCTAATAACATGCTAATCAAATGATTTAATTTAATTTTGAAAATATCTGATTATAAATTCACTTTATTTAATAAAAATCACGCTGTCAAATCAACTGTATGAAATAATAAATTTTCTAATCTAACATGAATTTAATAAATCATTAATTTCTTAAAAATAAGTTTTATATCCACTCACCAAGACAAGCTATAGGCTATGAATGTCAATAAGCTTTTCCAATATCTTAGTCACCACCTGAAATGTGATACAGAATAACCAATTTAACAACTACCATACTATGGAGCTCTTATTATTTAATAACAGAATACCAAAACTTGATTTCTCGATACTTGAATAATTTTTCCCAAATTTTCTTTAATCACTCAGAGCTAACTCCACCTACTAATCCATTCACTAGTAACTAATAATACATCAAATAACCTTCATTCCAAGCATTTATGTAATTACCACTTCATTCTAGTGACCACTTGTCACAATGCTTTGACCAATTAAATTTTCCTCTTGTTCGATAATTTCATGCTTCCAAATAATTATTTCCACATCACCATCATTTCCACAAACACTACTTAATTCAAAAATTCCAAATAAAATTTCTAGGGTTTGCTAAAATAATATTACTTACCTAGCTGAAATAAGAATTGAAGTAATCCCCAAACTTGAGCTCCAATTCGTGTATATCACACCTAAATTTGAAAATTTCTACTACAAGTTAAAACCCTAGAATTTTAACATAAATCATACTTTATCACTTGAAACAAATGGAAAAATTAAACCCAAACTTGAAGAGATTAACCTCACCTCACTTCCTGTTCTTCCCTTTTCTTCTTTTCTTCCTTCGTTCTCTTTTCTTCCCTTTTTTCCTTAGTTTTTCCTCCTTTTCTCGGCCTTTCCAGTTCTCTGCCCTTTTTCTAGTGTGTGTGTGTGTGTGTGTGTTTTTGAGAGAAAATGTTGGTCAAAGGTTGAATATAAATCCCACTTATGAAAAATTGCAAAATAAGTCCTTCAACTCTCTTTTTGAATGATATTTAATCCTATAACTTCCCTTAATATAAAAGTAAATTCCCAACTTTAAATTGTATCCAATTTAAACCTCATACCTTGCCAATTGCAAAATAAACCCCAAATAAAATATTTAATTTCATTCTAGTCCATAATTGACTTTGATTTTAACTAGTCAACGTTTGATTTTTTCACTATGAAAATTGAGTTTTAACACAAACAATCTCAGGTACTTTATATATCACGATACTTAAATTCAGTGAAAAATTTAGAGACAAGCACCTACATCTTACTTCGTCAAGAAATAAGAGCACTCCCATGAAACATACACCAATCTGTGAAGTATCAACAAGTATCCACAAATCTAGCCCAATCCGCATCACCATAATCTATCAACTTAAAAGAAGAATTAGCAGGAAAGATAAGTATCTGTTATACCCAACAAGTATCGAAAAATGTGACGAACTGCAACCAAGTGGAGATGTCGTGGAGCATGCACAAATTGATACACTTCTTGTACAACAAAAGATATTTCAAATCAAGTGATAGTGAGATAATTCAAACTACCTATTAACTACGGTATATAGGGGGGTCTGGAAGAAGATCACCCTCCTCTTTGTGATATTTTGCATTCACTCTCGAAAGATTATCTACCAAGGGACCATCTTGAAGTCCAGCCAAAGTAATCAACTCTTCAATATACTTATGTTGATTTAGGTAAGTTTTTGCTGGACTGGAAAGTATATCAAGACCAAATAATACTGCAAGGAACCCAAATCCTTCAAATGGAAAGCATCCTTCAATTGATTTTGAAGGTGAGCTATTAATTTGAAGTCAGACCCCGATAATAACAATATCATCCACATATATCAAAAGAAGCACAATACCTGCCTTAGTGTCAAAGATGAGAAGTGATGAACCATATTTACTCTGGATAAATGAGAAACCCAAAAGAGTAGAACAAAACATGCCAAACCAAGAACGAAGAGCCTACTTCAACCCATAAATTGAGCACTTCAGCTTATACATATTGAAATATGGCAATAAGAAGAGGCTCGCAAGTGGTGTCATAAAAATTCTTTCTTAGGGCCATCATGTAAGAAAACATTTTTGACATCCATCTGCCGCAAAGACCATCTTCTGGAGGTAGCTACGACCAAAACAATTCGAACATTGTCATTTTGGCAACAGGAGAAAATGTTTCTTCGTAATCCATGCCGTATTTTTTATGAATCCCAAGAGCCACGAACTGAGCTTTATAGTGCTCCGATGATGCATCAAAGCAGAACTTAATGGAATATACATATTTACACCCACTAGATTTGATGTCAGGAGGTCAAGAAACAATATCCCATATATATATAATTTTTCTGATGTATTTTCTCTGATAAATTTATATTCTTTTCTAGTGAAGATTATAGTGGATGAAATTAGGATTCAGATGGAGTTAAAATTTAAAATTTTGTGATTATGAAATTGAGTGTTTTCTGCCATCCAATTGTTGAGTGATGACCAAAATCAAGAATATAAATTCATCACCATTACAATTTTTTTTTTCTCGTCCAATTGTAAGTAAAATTTTTAGAAATATACTTATGGCTATATTTGCTATGGTATCATAGTTGTTCCATGTAACATCCCAAAAATTCTAGAATAAGAATTTAATTATTTTATATGATATACTTTTATATTATAAAAGTAAAAATAAAAAAATGGAAAACTGAAATGAAGGTCGTATAAGTGAAGCCCTAGATAAATCAAATCAAAGCAACGTATTTAATATGTATTTTGTTAATGTATCCTTCAAGATAATTAACAAAAGACTATAATATTTTATTTGCATAATCACGTTTATCTTTAGTTTGAAGAAATTAATCATAACCAAATTTTGTTATTCCATGTGAAAACCCACTATAATCAAATCGGTATACGTACACGTGCATTTTATTTATCCTTTTTATTCTATAATCTCTGTCAATTGAATTAAGTTCACATTAATCCAACTAAAATTGCTCCCTTTTATTGTGCCATGTGGTTTGGTTGGGTTTTTCATAAACCGTGATCTTGTATATAATATATGAAATGAGATTAGAATTTTTAAATTCAAATAAATCTGTTATAGAATTATTTTATGTTCAGTTGACTTATCTATAAGTTGAAGATATATCTAATCTAATCAAATTTTGTTGGTTGATTAAGATAAAGATAATCCTAAGTGATTAACTATCTTAGTTACCCAGCAGAATCCGTTAATTAGCCGGTCAAGTGTACATTGTTTATTTTAGAAAATATTATGTAATACAAATCCTAAAGCAAATTAGAGTGTTTCTGATTCTAGCAGTCCTCGATTCTGTTGACAATAAAATATTACTTTTGTTGAAATTAGATAAGAGATTGAAGAATTTTAATTGAGTCATATTTACCTATGGACACGTGTGCATGCC